CAATACTAACCTTATATAATTCCCAGCTTATTTGACAGCAACCGAAGTACCACTGGAGTAGAACCGTCTGCAGCCACCATCCCACAGCACCTATCGAACGCCTATCGGCAAAAGTTCCTTATAAGGCCACGCTATCCCGTTTCCATGACGACATTCAATGTTCGCACTCTAAGACAAACAGGTCAACAGGCTGCACTCGCACGCACCTTGGACACACTGGGTATTGATGTGTGAGGTGTGTCCGAAACTAACATCGATGACCCTAACGGGGTTATTGAATTAACTGCACCCGGCTTATCCTCTCGTTATTGGTTGCACGCATCCGGAGACGCCGATGCAGCACTCACGGGTCAAGCTGGTGTAGGTATCATTCTAAGCTCCAAGGCTGAGCCATCGTTGGTTGATTGGATTCCGGTGAACAGCTGTTTATGTGCAGCCCGTTTGACGACATCAGCTAAGGTTGATTCACGAAGTAGTAAAAAACGCTGTTTGTTCGTGATTTCCGCTTATGCTCCCACCGACTGCAGTTCTAATGCTGTCAAGGACACATTCTATTGACGAACTGAACGCGCTACTACGCAGTGCTATTAGTTCAGATATTATAGTACTTGCAGGGGATATGAACGCACAAGTAGGGCGTCTGAGCTCTTCAGAAGCTCAGCTGGGTGGTAATTATGGACTTAACTCCGAACGGACTGACAATGGTGAGCGTCTGCTGCAACTGTGTGCGGAGCACCAGTTGTTTCTTAGTAGCACTGCATTTAGACACAGTGGGCGCCGAAGTGCCACTTGGCGTCCTCCTGTAGCTGACCAGCGAGGGACCCAAATTGACCACATAGCCATAAGTTACAGGTGGCGCGGATTCATGCTGGATTGCCGCTCATACTGGTGTACCTGTATCGACTCTGATCATGCCTTGGTACGCTGTCGTTTCTCCATAAACTTTACCGGGAGGCACACCAAGTGTCCGCTACGACTGGCAACGGAGAAATTGTCTCAGTCCTCGGTTAGGCAAGCCTATCAAGACGCACTGCATACTGAACTTCCGCAATCTTGTCTTAATGACGTTGAGCTTCAGTGGAATAGGATATCGGCCGCCATGCACGGCGCAGGAGCATCTGCTTGTGGCACTATCCATCGTCACCGCACCAGTCACTGGATATCCGAGAGATCGGTGAACCTGTTGGAATCTCGAAGACATCTCCCGGCTGGCTCACAATGTGACCAGACGGGCTATGAGGCGTGAACTAAAGGAGAGCCTAAGTGCTAACAAGGAAGCCTGGTGGACCAGTAGGGCTCAAGAAATGGAGGAGGCAGGAGCAGTAGGCAATTACCGCAAACTCTTCCAGCTAATCCGCACCACTGGTCCCAGAAAACCAGCCGTCAGTGAGACAATCAGAGACAGCGCAGGTGCGCAGATACACAATAAGGAGCGCCGTATGGCTCATTGGGCGGAACACTTTCAAGATCAGTTCAGCTGGCCTCCTGCTCCCGGACCTCTTCCTACTCAGGTGATGCAGGACGAGCCATGGACGGTTAGTTTAGGGCCTCCGTCGGAGGCCGAGGTCCGAAACGCGATTACAGCCCTCAATCGTTTTCGAGCCGTAGGCCCGGATTCCCTCCCACCTGCACTATTTAAGGATGGAGGTGATGTCCTCTGGAAAGGAATGACCTCCTTATTCGAATGTCCGGAAAGACGAGAACGTCCCGGCTAATTGGAGCGAATCGATTGTAGTGGCAATGTACAAGTAGGGCAGTCGCACAGACTGTTCTAACCCCTGGGGTATTAGCCTTACGCCAATTGTGACAAAATTATTGGTATCGATTATCGTTCTTAGTCTCACTGCAGGACGGGAATCTCGGATTATGGAAGGGCAGGCCGGTTTCCGCCCAGGGCGTGGCTGTATAGACCATATATTCACTTTGCGAAAGGTGCTAGAGCGGCGGGACGCATACCGCAGATCGACAATAGCTGTGTTCCTTGATTTCAAGAGTGCGTTCGATTCAGTCGATCGATCGATTCTGTTCGAAATACTTGCGCGGAAAGGTGTTCCCACGAAATATGTGAACATCCTTCGTGCTCTCTACTCGAACGCTGCAGGCCCCGTCAGGATTTTCGGTGTCCTGTCGGATAGCTTTCCGACCACAAGTGGCGTTCGTCAGGGTTGTCCGATTTCCCCGTTTCTGTTCATTTTCCTCGTGGATTCTATCATGGAGTGTTCCCTTGCGGAATCTCACGATGTAGGTGTTGAAGTGCTGCCTGGTGAAAGGTTAGTTGATCTAGATTATGCGGACGATATCGTCTTGCTTTTCGACGATGTTGGGGCGGCCCAGTCAACCCTGAATAGCCTGTCCGGAGTGGTCCCATTATTGGATATGCACTTCCCACCTTCAAAGTGCATTGTTACTGCAGTACCACCAGCCACTTGATGACCCCTTGACGCTTGCTAACGAGGAACTCGAGGTGGTTGGTCATTCCACTTGTGTTGGCAGCTGCGTCAACAATGATGAGCGCATAGAATCTGACGTCAGCTCACGCATTGCGAAAGCCACCTGCTACCTTCTTGAACCTGCGTCATCTTTGGCGACAGAAGGGAGTTTCCCTCCGTCTGAAAGGCCGGGTATACAAGGCCACATTGAGGGCCAGTCTGCTCTATGGTAGTGAGACTTGGTCTGAAGATCTGAGGCGCCTTCAAGTCTTTGATCATCGTTGTCTGCGAAGCATTGCTGGTGTCGGATGGCACCAGCGTGTCCGCAACGATGATGTGCGTAGGCGAGTACTAGGTGGTGATGATCATGCTAGCTCCCTAGAACAACAGATAGCACTGAATAAGTTGCGTTGGCTCGGGCACGTGATACGTATGCCTGGTCACCGCTTACCTAGAAGAGCGTTGTTTAGTCTGCCAGGTGTAGGGTGGCGCAAAACTCGAGGTGGACAGAAGTTGACTTGGCAACAAGAAATGAAGACACTGGCGAGCAAACTGGGTGTCGTTGGTCCGTCTCGCCTTCCAGGCTGGAGTCCACGTGACTCGCCTTGTGCTTTGCTCGAGACTTTACAGGACATGGCTCGCAACCGACACCAGTGGCGCGTCTGCTGCCGTCTTCTAATCGGATTGCCTGTTTAAACTATGTTTGGTGCTGAGTTATCTGCGGGGTAATGGCTGATTATGACGCGTGGCAGTGAAAGCCGCAAGGAAGCTGTCTCGCTGATACCGCCTTATCTTTGCACGATAGCCGGCTGTTTGTGACGGTATGTTGTTAACACAAGGTGTAGGCGACTTGACCCTGAATGTTTGCTTAGGGCATTACGATTATCAGGCAAGTCCCCCTTCTGTCCCTCTTCTTATTCTTTATTTCATAGGTCCTCATGGTTGTATGGCAACGAAGCATCAGTTCAAATGGCTGATGTACTGCTGTTGATGATGATGGTGATCTCACTGTACATTGTGATACGCAACTAAAATTGGGCAACAATCAAGATCTTGCTAGCTGTCGGCCAATGTTTCCGACGCCATTCAGCCGTATAATCATGGACAGAATTATGTAACTCGCCTTTCGGCGATACTAATAGCTTGAGCACGGTCACCTCTCAGCATTACTTCCTAAGTGCACACTGTACACCTTCGAGTTGCATGCCGCTGCAATAAAATGGACAAAATCGTTATATGCTACAAAATATATGAACCTTGTCACTGACTTTAGCAGAGCTCTTTATAAGATCCCCCACGGAATTGTTGTTACACAGAATGCTCACTCTTGGATCGTTTAAGTCCACACCATACACGCAAGTGTAAACCGAATCCTCTCTGTTCCCTTCTCCTGGCTAATTGCGTGCACCAAGTATCCGTACTTGATCCAGGACTCCATCTTTTATTAAATGCCTCCAGACTGCACTTCGAACCACGTGTCCAATTTTGTGGTTACTGACGGCATACCGGTTGCACGGTTGATTTGTCAAATGACGATTGCTCGTAACTCGTGACAAATGCTTAACTGATCCATATGTTGCATATATTAGTGGATTTACCCACCAATACAACCCAACGGAGAGGTGTCTGAATAATCGTGCGCCCCCTTTTTGAGACACTCCATGGCGCGTCGAAGCTCGTTGCTATCAGTGTCTTATTCTAATAACAGGATCTTACAACTTCTGTCTATTCTTATGTTCTCCCACTCCTAGGATACAGCTTACCGGTCATCCTTCTCCGTGCATCAACTACACAGTGAATCGGAATCGAGGCACTCTACGATTCGATGTACTCAGCATTGGCAGAGCTGTACGCTATCGGGCGCGTCCCCGTGTTGCAGATCGGGGAATGCCTTCCTTGTAGAGGTAACTGCGAATAAGTCTCGTTTACTTTACAAGCGAGATGAATAAGCAGTCGCGGACAATCAGAGGTAGCGTCCCAGAGCGTGGGGAATTCTGGGCTGGTCACCTGATTCTCCATTAAATACCACAAGTGCTCGTACGGCGCTGTGTCAAAGCCAATGTGACCGGATATAGGGTCACTGACCACTCACTCCTATAACTGGGGGTGAGTATGTAACGGAGGGCGGATGAACAACCTCGCTGGCCAGCGGCTTCTCTGTGGACTGCTTCCGAACACAAAGAAGGCAAATGAGCCACTTGACTGTCAACGGTCTTCGTGAATCACCCCGCTGCCTTGCGGGTCAGGTCTCTAGATCAAAGGCTCGGGGTGGGGTCCCTTAAGGCAACCCTCTTCCTCTGCCTGAGCAACCGGGAGACTCAATGCCCACACAACACATGGAACTTTGCTTCCATTCCTCCTACTCACTCTTTTTTTGTTATTGTTACTCATGTGTTGTGGCACTCTGTCAAATATTTATTGGGCAAGTGTTAAATACAGTAATACAATACAGCACTGTCAGTCCATATCGGGACTGTGATCATGGTATTCTATTCATCTCTCTATCCGATCTGTCGTATGTATTTGTGACAGCGTCATCCAACAGCCTACAAGATACGTTTCCTGTTTCAGCGCCACATCTGTTACACCTCCGCTTCGTTTTGGAAACAAAGAAGCTCGAATTCCCAAACCCTACTCCCACTACATCCCTACTGGTGATGTTTTCCTTTTTTGGTGAGTATACCCTAGTTTAACTGATCGTCGTGTGTTCCTTACTGCCACCTAAACAGACAGACCACTTGTCGACAGTGCCATTCGTCGTATGTTCAGTTACTGTTGAGGTTTGTAGACTGTGCACACGTCATCTACGAGCTACACTCTGTTACTGAACGGAGTTACTCAACTCGTTCGTGATCAAGACAGTGTATACTGTACTTCCCTCTCTTGTGATAAACTTGAACCTAACGGATTCATAATTTCCCTAGCTAGATCGGTCATGTATGGGCTTGTACTGTGTCTACGTTTCGCTCTTAACGCAAGAGCTTCTTCATACCAGGTGAAACCATACAAAATTGCTTTAGGTTTGATACCACATTTAAGCAGTGATTGCGCAAAATAACACGAGTCAGTGGATAATTTCGAATACAGTTCAACCGGTCAAGGTGTCACCTAGTGCTACAAGCATGAAACCTTCCCGATTGATCCTCATCACAGATCAGTCACATGTAAGCCATCCTTCTTCATGATGCTGCTGATGCTTTTGCTGATAGTTCAACTCACTCGTTTTAACCTGAGTCCATCAACCGACGCGGTTTAGACTGGCCGGGTCAAAATATTCTGCCACGTTTGGTGGCTCCATGCCGTCTAATCTGTACGTACAGTTATTGGCCTCAAAACTTACTTGCTCCTACTTCTGCTAATGATCTTTACATTGTCCTAGTCGGTTTCACTCCCCGCGCCTAGCGTGCGTACCACTACCGCTGTATCTTTTAGTACGACCTTGTATCCAAGCTCCTTTATTGGTGGACACGAAATGTGCCTCTTGTGTTCTGCTCTCTTTGTCTATAGCTCTCTCGCTGTGTGACTTATGTACACTTGTCCACAGTCTTTGCAACTAATTTTATATACGCAGCTGGTCGTTTTGTCTCTGAAGTGGATCCTTCTAATACACCAATGCTGAACGAATCGTTTGACCCATTTTATAAACCACCCTTATGTTCTCTTTGTTTGTTACCCACCTGATCGCTTCAGAAGTTCCCTTTTATAATGGATTCCCACTGTTCTACTCACTCTGCTGTACTCCGTGAAGCTGGGTTTAGGGTTGTCTGCAACTGACCTCTCGCTAACGGCCTCGGATCTTTACAATCTGTTAATTCGTCCACTGCTTCCTTCTAGGCGGGCTTCATGTCCACTTCCACTGTTCACACGGTCTGGTCCCTGTGAAACAATCGCAGCCTACACGTGTTTTGGATGTTCCGAACTATGTTGGTGTATCCCGTTTGTCAGCTTGCTATATATCGTTGTTTTTAGCCGAACTCCATTCCTAGGAACTAGGCAATAAACGAATGGCCGTATACCGCGGTGGGATTCTACTTTCACATAGCATTTTATGTTATCATTAATTGAGTTCAGACCATTTTAAAACTCTTTAACCCGTTATATAATCACAAAAGTGTCATCTACGCAGCGCCAGCAAATCTTTGGATACGTCATTACCCACGACAGTGGTTGTCCGTTTAGGTCACACCAATCTAATCATTTGTTCTTGTTTCAATTACCTTGTTTGTGTGCCACTGTCATATCTGTTGCCAACCTTTTCCATATTTTGGCTCAGGTACTCGCAACTGTACCTTTCAGTAATGCATCAGTTCTTCGTGCCGATGCTTCGTCTTGATGCAGTTACTAGCTTTTGCTCGTAGCAAGTATGTAACGGTGGTCTATGTACTACAAGTCTAATATTCGAAACACCCAGCTACCAATTTACCGCGTCGGATTGTTTTTTTCGGTTTAAATAATGATAGCTAGCATCACTTTTAAATACACATTACTTAGCCTGACGAGTCTGCTAGTCATGCTGTTGTGGAAGCCGACAAGTGTTTGACCCACAAATCGATAGTTGGCGTTCAGTTTACTTATTCCACCTTGGCATGACTTTTGCGAGCATTTCCACCTACCCCTGCTAGTTGCTGGTGGTGTATGGTGAATCTCGTAACTGACTCAAGTAGAGCCGAGATTGGCAAAAGCATCTCGAGTTTTTGTTATGCGGTTCGTGCCCTCGTCTACTCCACAGATGCTGATGTGGCTGCTTAAATTTCTGAACGACGTCTAGCCGGTCACCACCAAGTGTCAGCACAGTGTTGTGTACCTGCCAATCATAGAGAACTGCATTTTGAGGGCGCAATGAATAGTCAAAAAACGATTGCCAGCAATATTGATCTGTCTAATGCTGTTTGGCACGTTTGGAAGCTGGCACAGATTAGGCCAATGTTGTCGGCACACCAAGTTAAGAATTCGCTCACTAGGTCGAAGCTAGGGGACGTTGTTTCCATGACTTCGTCAATGACGAAGTTAAGGAGGGAGGGTGATAGCGGGCAATCTTGTCCCACATTGCTGGAGATATTGAACGGCGATTACAGTTTGCTATAAGCGCTAACCCTGCCCGAACTACACGCGTTAGGCGCTCGTATGACATTTATATATTTATCGGACAGATTTTTCTTGAGCAGACAATTACAAAGGGCACATCGATCCGCCACATCGAAGGCAGGTTTGATGTCTAGGAAAACGGCTACATTGGGTTGCCACTAAATATAGCGGTGCTCCAACAATAGAAGCAATTATGATGTGATCAATACAGCCGCGACTTCAACGAAACCCGGTTTGCTCCTCACGAATATGGCTTTCACGATTTCAAGTCGGTCTATAGAGGACGACAGAGGCAGGTAGCTTAATGGCAATTGAGATCAGATTGATTCCTCCGTGACTGCCGCATTCCGAACGTGAGCCCCCTTCGCAAATTTGTGCTATAACGGAGCGGTTTCAGTCAGTTGGGACAGTTTTCTGCTCCCACAGCTCCAAAAGTAACTTGTATAAACCATCCACAAGAACTGGTCCCCAAATTTAAAGTGGGTTGGATGAAGTTGATCTGCTCCGGAGTTATTCCCTTTCAACATGCGTGAGGACAGGGACAGCCCAGGGAACAGGCGATCAATGCTGATAGAGAAGCTGGCAACTCATTGATAAAACTCTCTCAAAATGTTCGGCCGAACGCTCCGAGTGCTTTGACAAGCTGAGGATCAACTGTCCGCTCTCGTGGCGTGTGGTCACGTTAACACCAGGTCTCAGGCTGCCCGTTTTCCGGCAGTGTTTTCATCTCCGATGCACAATGAGACCAGACTTCGCGGTCTCTTTTAGGGCCTTAAGACAGCTTTATTTTGAGATCTTTGCGAGCCCCCTTGTGTTCGCTTCCAGCCGGAATGTGTCCCCGATCAGCTGGAAGCTCCAGAGACTGCGCAGAGACCAAATCTCCAAGCGAGTAATTTGATTTGTCACATGAATACATGCCTGCCGGTAGTAACGTCTGATGGATATGCGACCTGTTTTTCGATTGTGTTCCGTATGCGTTTACTCAGTCCGAACGCCAGCGTACATTGCTACACCTTCAGACCACGTAGATTCACCAGTCGGCAACTGTTTGCACGCTCAGAGCGCCGTTGCAGACGTCCGCCGAAACGCACCCGCAAGTCAGCACATACGAGTTCATGGCCTGAGTCCACGCTCGTGCTCCAAATTGAGCGACAGTGACTGATCGCGATATGATCGAACTGCGTCCATGACTGGTCCTAGTCGGGTGAGCGCCATATTATTGTTCTGTGGGTACTGTGTCCGAAGTTAGTATTCGCGAGAAATAGTGAATCATCTTCACACAGGTGTAGCAACTGCTCACCGTTATCATCACGGGAGCTTACACCATGTTGGCCATCTAGATGTAGCTCATCAGTGGACAGCTTTCCAACTTGCGTGTTCAAATCACCATCCAGCATCCCACTGTCCGTACACTTTCTGTAACGAAAGTGCGCGTTCACTTACTGGCAGAATTCCTCTTTCACGGAGTCAGCTCTGCAATTCGTGGGCGCGTATGCGGCGATGACAAGCAAACACGCGGCTTGGAACCTTTGAACGCGCCGGCCATTCTGACGGTGCACATCCGGCTATTGACTGTTTCAATAGATCCGGGCAGATTCAGCCGGCAGTTAAAGGTGCGTCATCTCCAGACAAGCGCAATAAGACAATGCTGCAGGGTAAGCACAGAACCAGAATCTTGCTGGCGGGTTTCCGATGAACAACTGATGCTTAAGGATTAAGTCTTTACAGTACGGGCAACTGCTGCCTGTTGGCCAATCTGCAACAAAGTGCGCACATTTAGGCATGTCATTCTCAGCAGGATCGAAGGCGCCAAATAGAAAGTGATAAACTTACCTTTTTCGTTTTCCTGGACTTGTCTGCTGGACGCAAGCAATGCCCTGCGATTTCCTGTGCGTTGAAACCAAAAGATAAATGATTATGGAAGCAAGATGGCGGAGGACGAAACGGGGATGCAAGTGAACTTGGAACGGGGTCATAAGGATGTATAAGGATGCGAAGCGTAATAAGAAGATGAACTGTAGCATCCTCAACCCTATCCACCCTGCTCGATGCATCATATAGGGCGTCGTTGACTATCCGTTGCGATAGCCCGAGCATCAGGAAATCGTGTACAGAGAAGTCCATTGTATTGTATTGCTTAGGTAGGATATTTTTAGGTTACCCAGGGCTTGACAGAAGAACGGTTAGGGTTCTCAACCAAAGTTTGGTCCAAAAAGCTTACCGTAAGACTGGGTTTGGCACTGGGCTACAGGAAGTCCGTTTTATGAAGTAAGGAGCCACCCTCACTCCAACCCCTACTCCAGACTCAGTTTGTTTGGCCTCTAACCATTGACCAGTCTGTTCTGAGTGACTCGGAGAGTGCAAGGGCACCATGCAGCAAAGCCCACGGATCGTTGAGACGCGCAAAATGTCATCAGCAGTACGCCGGCACACTACCAACGCTTCGCTGCCACACGACCACCACCGGTCTAGCGTGGGCTAAGTATACCGCGAGGACGCCCGTCCCTACGCGGATTCGAACCGGCGATCTAATGATTGCAAGCTAGGCGTGCATTCCTTTCGGCTGTCGGCTGATGTGGCACGCAAAT